CTTTTCTTTCTTTAACACAAACCTACCCAGATCCGCCATTTTGAAACTTCATTATCATCTCTCGATTCGGTGATGTGTCTCATCTATGAATCGTGCGATTGTATGGGGCCCAAATATGCGGGTTTCACCCAATTTTGGGTTGATCATGAATGCCAAAATCCGGGGGCATCGTCATTGTATGCACGATCATTGATCGTGCATCGATCTAGGTCCCAATCGTCGTTTGAGTTACATTTTGTGTGGTCACGATTTATTCTGCCCGTGACAATATAAAATTTTACAACCGAGCATATCAGAAGATAAGTAATAAACTCTTAACTTGTTAGCAAATAGCATATGAGAACTATTTCTAAATGACAAGTACTATAGCCCAAATTGTTATCTAAATTACAAATTAAAACTAACTCAGTTATCAACTTGGTACCTATATTCGACCTGCTATAGTAGGATTCTTCTCTTTTCAAACCCTTCCTGCAATTGAATATAATCCAGATCTCAACAGATAGTATCTACCACCCATCATGACTACCTCTCTTTTTTTTTAGACTTCTTTTACCTAAGCCTGACAACATAATTAAACTCTTACTCATATATAAAAATAAAAAAAATAAAGCCATGTTTATGAAAAACATAAACATTTTAGAAAAAAAAAATACATCTCATAGTAAGAAAAAAAAACTTTTCAACAAATTCTAAAATAATCTAATATAAATGAACAAAGGTGAAAAAAGCGAAAAAAAAGAAAGGTAATCATGACACACTATTATAACCTGTACTAGACATAAGAGTAAAAATTATATAATAATTGCAACTAATTACTATATCTCAATTGTAAATCTTCAGTTTAGCTTTAAGACTTATTCTGGGCACCAACTCGACTCGGGTATCTTCTAAACAGGGTAAAGATCTCTTTTTTATACTGTAGCACCATATTTGCAAAACAACAAAACATGTGGTTGCCTTCTACTAAGTTTGTTCTGATTTAGTAAATATAACAATGCCAATCTTTTGAAAGGGATAAACCAAAAAGCCCACTTTTTGTTGAAAATTTTGGTGAGAATGGCAAAAAATGAAAATGATAGAAAAACTTCTTGGTACTACTTAAAAGAGAATGAGTTACTAAAAACAACAAAGATAGCCTTCTACCTAGGCAATACATTACTTGAAATTTGTTAGTAAGTAATAAACTCTGAACTTGTTAACAGGTAGCATATGAGAACTACCACTAAACAACAAGCACTGGGTCTGCAGTGAGTGATAAACTCTGAAACTGTTAGCAGGTAGTGTATAAGAACTACTTTTAAACGACAGGTGCTGTCTTACTATTCCTTTTTTCTTTGACTTATAAGCTAGGAGGTTGGTTTTTACTGTTTTTGTTAAAAAGTTTTTTTAGAAAAATTTGGACCAAGTGATTGTCAGAAAGAGTTGTATGTAAACAAATTCTGTATTAGATTTATTGTAGTAGTAGAATTGATTTATATAAAGTTATTATATTAGTTTTGTATTGGGATTTATATAATTTGTAGTAATTTATTATAAAAATTGCTATTGAGTTTTTGGCTTAATACTGTATACAAATTACTTTTGTTATAGTGAACCTTTGATATAGTAAAAATTAGCTTATAATAAAAATTTTTTTTAGAACAAAACCAAAACTATTAATGTTTTACTTAATATAATAAACTTTTAATAATAAACTCTTGATATAAGCTATAATGAAGATTTGTATTATTTATTTCTTGGAGGAGTAGAAATTATAACAGAGGTTACTAATAATCATAGCACATAGATAGCCCGAAGGGCTATTCACATACTATGATCATCGGTAACCTTTGTTATAATTTCCCTACAGAAAATAAATAAATAATCCCCAGAAATATGTCACTAGACATTAATTGAACTACTATATTATTATTTTTACACATGTTTCATATTTATATTCATATTGCTGTATTGTACTTTACTAACTTTTGGGCTTCGCTTATTTTTTTTTATTTGCATTATTTTTATTGTTTTACTCTTTTTATCACTTTTGCTTTTTATTTCTATATTTAACTTTTTTTAAACTCTTACTTTTACTTTGCTCTTATGTACTTTTTTTTAGCTTCATTTTATTGTGCCTATTTATTTTGGCTTTTAAAGTTCTTTAGATAAAATGTGAAAAATTCAAAAAAGAAAATAATTCAAATAAAAATTAAGTGTTAAAAATTAGAGTTTCCCAATGATCAATATAAGACCAGGAATTTCTTATAGAAAGATTCCTAGCCACAATATGATTATTATAAATATGATAAATTACATATAAAAAATAATAATGAAGATAGTTATAAGTGACACTTAGTGCTACAAGAGATTATTTTTAAAAAAATATAATATATTTATAATAAATTTACTTTTACTATAATGAAGATTTATAATACTTTAATAAAGTAAATATCAAGAACTCTCATCAATGATTCCTCGTACCGAAATTTTTGGGAAGAATTCAACTCAAAAAACAAGAAACCCGATATACAATACATCTGGTTAAATAAATAAAACTATAAGCCAGCACCTATTGTTTAGAGGTAGTTCTCATATGCTACTTGCTAGTAGGCTAAGAGTTTATCACTCACTGCAGAGACGGCAACTGTCATTTAGAAGTAGTTCTCATATGTTATTTGCTGGCAGCTTTAAAGTTTATCACTCATTAAAAAGAAGAGTTTTCTCTGGGTTGAGTATATTGGGCTCTGGCTTTGATAACTTTCACTCCTTTGTACCGAAAAGACTAAGTATGATAGCAAGAACCCTCACACACCACCCACTTGGTATGGCAACAACAAAATTTCAGAAAAAGTAGACAAAACAGCTTACCCCCCATCAAAGAATTGACATTGCTTACAGCTACCAAATTCAGACAATGCAGTAGAGTACAATCACGTACTCTGGCCAAATATGGGAATGGTGCTACTATTTCGAACTGGACTACCTCTGGAATCCCTTATGAGAGTTTTGAAAACACATAATGGCAGCAGCAACCACTTTAGGGACAGGACCCGGAGCTGTGAAGGCTAGAAACTTCCGATCTTATATGGTAAAATAAAATTAAAATTAAGGCTTAGCTTTACATTAGAGATTTGCAGATGTTGTATCTATCATATAATTTTTATACAAACCTGGCACGGATTATAATAGTGTGTGTCAGGATCTCCTGATCTTTTTTTTATGCTTTTTTCATCTTTGTTCATTTATGATGGAATCTTATTTAGGATATGTTCTCTGTGTATTCTATTTGGTTTATCCTTTCTTCTCCTAGATGTAGTTTTTTTTTTGTAAATATGGTATATATGTTCTTAGCTTGTAGAAAAGTAAGAGATAATTATTCTGCCCAGACCTAGGTAGGAAAAGTTTTAAAGAAAGGATAGAAGATCTTGACAGAGTATACAACAACCTGTCAAATAATCGGGGGTGTATCTTTATGATACAAAATCTGAAGTGAGTTTTGGATCCCTTTGTGAGACAAACAGTTGTTATAGCAGATCGCATTGGGTAGTACTCTGTACTCTTAATGAGTTTTTATTAGACTAGAACATTATTCTATAAAGATTATAGGTACTTTGGTACTTTGTATCAAATAGTAGTTCAGATAAATAAAAGCAGGATTGCTTAAAAAAAATATATATATATATAATGAAGATTTATTTCTAAAACAATTTTAGCCAATTATATTAATTTAAATATTTTCTCAATCTAGAGAAGATTTTTAAATTTATATATAAACTTCATTATATTAAAAGTTTTTAACATAAAAGTCTCTTGGTATAATAAAGATTTTTTATTTTAAATATAAACTTTACTGTATCAAGAGCTTTTGATATAGTAAATATCTCGATATAGCCCAACAACTTCACTATAACAAGAGTGACTTGTATCGGTATATTTAATATATATTATATAGTAATAATGATGTAATAATATGATTATTAGAACTGTAACAACTAATAAAAATAAAATACTGTATTTTGATTGGATCAGAGCTTTCCGGACCGATTTCCAGAACTGGTGTTAAACACAACTCATACAGGAAGATCCCAAAAATTCCGGGTCGGGTGCATCAGAAACCTGGTCGGATGGGCCGGAATTGATCGATTTTGCCCAAGATCACTAAGAATTTTACTATTGAAACAATAGTCGACCATTAAGCAAAAAATGCCCAGCTGATAATTTTACTATAGCTCCTGCTAACCATAACACTAACCCGACGCATTCCGGCCATTACGACCCTTAAAACCGTTAATAGTTAACCAAAATATTAAGAATAAAATCCAAATTTATTACTATTTTATATATTATAGTATATATATTATAATACTGTAAATTAATAATCATTTAATTGATTAAGCCCAACCAAAACTTCTCTCTACAGCTTTTTGCCAAAGTTGATACCTCTGTAAAGCATCATTTGAAGAAATTTGAGGTTTAAATACATCATTATCTTCACTACTAACATTATATAAATCACTTAAAGATTTCCAAACACCAACAGCAAGACCAGCAGCCATAGCCGCACCCAATGCAGTTGTTTCTCTCATCATAGGACGGTCTACTTCCATTCCAAGAATGTCAGCTTGGATTTGCATACATATATCCGAAGAAGTCATACCACCATCAACCTTCAAATAAGTCAAAGGATGACCAGAATCATTGTTCATAGCTTCTAAAATTGCACGGGTTTGAAAACAAGTAGCTTCAAGGGTTGCACGAGCAATGTGTTCTTTTCTTGTATATTGAGTAATTCCAACTATACATCCTCGAGCATCATCACGCCAATAAGGAGCGTAAAGACCTGAAAAAGCAGTAACAAAATATACACCACCGGTATCCGGAGTTAAAGCAGCAAGGGTATTAACATCTTTAGTTTCATTAATAATGCCTAAGTTATCACGAAGCCATTTAATGGCAGAACCAGCAACAGCTATAGAACCTTCTAAAGCATAAACAGTAGGCGTATTTCCAAATTTGTATCCAACGGTAGTGATTAAACCCGATTTTGAAAAAAAAGGGGTAGTACCAGTGTTAAATAACATAAAGCAACCAGTACCATAAGTATTTTTAGCTTCACCACTTTTAAAACATTTTTGACCAACAAAAGCAGCTTGCTGATCACCTAAAATTCCAGCAATTGGAATTTCATTATCTCTTATTTTAATATGACCATAGATTTCGGAAGATGAGCATATTCTAGGAAGACAAGATTTTTTAACATTGAAGAAATCAAGAATTTGTTGATTCCATTCTAAAGTATTAATATCCATGAACATAGTACGAGAAGCATTTGTGACGTCAGTGATATGTAAACCGCCATTGATTCCACCTGTTAAATTCTTTAGTATTGTAAATAATAGGTAAAGATAAGCAAATATAATTATTATAAGTATATATATATATATATATTTATTTAAAAAAAATACATATAAGGGAGTAAATATAGAATAATACCCAAATAAGCCAAGTATCAACAGTTCCAACCAATAAAGTATCATTGTCATGAGCATCTTTTACGGCAGGAACATTTTTAATCATCCACAATAATTTCATAGCCGAAAAATATGTGGATATCGGTAAACCACAAGATTTTCTAAATATATCATCACCATGTTGCTTAGTCAAATGATGAACCAAATCAATAGTACGAACATCACACCAAACAATAGCATTATGAAGAGGTTTTCCAGTATTTTTATCCCAAACAAGAAATGTTTCACGTTGGTTAGTGATTCCAATAGCTTTGAGATCTTTAATAGAATGAGTATTATCTTTTAAAAATTGATTAATGGCTTCATCAATACAAGTTGAAACAGAGTTTAAAAGGTCATTAGGATCATGTTCAATCCATCTATAAAACAAATAAAACAAATAATGTGAGTAAATCCAAATACTCGATTGATAAAATTAATAAACTCAGTCAATGGGGGTTTCAGAATTAATTTATTTTTGAAAATAAGGAGTTTAAAACCTTATTTCCCGGTTTAAATTCCGAACCAGAAAATTAAATAGACGTGCCCGGTGACAAAATTAGCTTTTTTTGATAAATATCTACCGGTAAGTGACTATGTAAATAAGTATCTACTGGGTTGTTGCCCAATTCCCCGAAAGTTACTTCCCCGCCAACTCATTTCCCCGACACCATAATGCCGACATGCTATTTCATCTAAAGCATATTCGACATTAAATGTTTTCAACAATCCTTTTCTTAGACAAGACATTTCCTCGACAATCATCTCTTCGACATAAAATTGGCTTGATCTAGATTAGATTTGACCTGATTTAGAGCTAATGTTGGTTAGAATTATATGTCGGGGAAATAATCTTCGGGGAAAGGAGTTGGAGGGGAAATAACTTTCGGGGAATCATACCGTAATCAAAATCAGATATCTGATTAATTCTGAAACCTCTAAGCAGTGTTTGCATTTGGACTAATTAAAATAATATGGACAAAATATGGACATAGTCATTTTTCAATTGGACATATACATTTGGACTATGCCCAAATTTTTTCAAAAATATGGACATGGTCCAAATCCAAACACTGCCTCCAAGTGTTGGAAGCCTACATATTTATCTGAACGTTGAGGCAAAGGTTTCAAATTTACATTGGCAAGTTTGTAATGATCATAAGAAACAAATTTACCGGTGAAATTTAAAGCCTGAAAAAAATTTGTAGGCTTCCAGCACTAAAAATAATAATAATTTACCCGGGATGGGGATAGTGTTGAGGGAATTCAATTTGATGAATTGCTACAATTTTTCCGATTTCATCAAAAATTAAAAAACGAGAAGAAGTCGTTCCTTGATCGATAGCACCGACGTATGATGGCATTTTTTTTAGTATTTAAAAAAAAACAAAAAAAAAACTTTAACAGTATTTCAAATTTAAGCTTATCGTTATCGTTATTTATATTAGAAATAAATAACAGATAAGCTTTAGATTTACACGTGAAACCTTACAGATCAATTAATATTAGATGCCATAATAAGAGGTAGGCGATCGACCAATTAAATTGTAAAATTTTTGACTAACCGGCAAGCGAAAAAATGAGAAAAATAAAAGAAACGTAGTTTAAACCTACTTTGGTGCATTAATAAAAAATATTGGGAAGCAATTTTACTTATAAACACACTTAAATATAACTTCAAATAGCTCTAACCCTAAATAAAATTTACTCCGCTTTAGCCGACCTCTATAATCAGTGATGTACCGGTACCCAATTAGGGTATGCGATATACTATGTAGATCAAATCTATACGTAGTGAGTATTAATATTACTATCTGATGATTTTATGTAGTACAAAGAAAATCGGTCTACTTATTAATGTTTTCTTATAAAACATTAAATGCTATAAACCTGTGTTTGGCATATTTAATTTATACAAATTTTACATAAATATAAACAACTCATTGTAAACTTTAAAATAAAAGAGAGCTTTTTTAAAAACAATATACTGTTTTACTTTTATTGCAAGCGCAGTACTATTTATTTATAACATTTAATGGTTAATTGTTATTTCAGAGATCAATTTTAGACTTTTGGAAAAATTCGCTCTTTTATATTATTAAGTAATTTATTGACAAGAGTTTATATAAATTTTACAACCATATCTCTAAAATTGAGCGATAAGTTGCATTTTTAAGCAAATTTTATCATAATGCTAATAAAAATTTCTTGATACTACGTATAATATTTACGGAGTTTAAAAGATTGATCTTTAGGTTACACAAAAATCTTTATTATATCTTTTTCATATGTGACTATACATATGTTTGATTTAAATAGTATATCGCATACCCCAATGTCCAATGTCCATGTCTATATATTATTTCTGGCAGGCAAGAATGTACATGCCAACCAAATTATTTGTCCATGACACTATAATTAGTTAAAGATTTTACTATATCAAAATACATACATTCCATACGTACAAACATTTTTTTACTAAACTAGATACGTATTGACGATTCTGATTCCTTTTTATCTTATTCATTAATAAGATTCATTGAGTTATCATGTGTAACAAACTGGAACCCATTACCATTACAATTAAATGTGTGAAACTAATACTTGCATGTTTGTAATTTGTACGTAAAATGATATATTTTTGATCTAAGAGAATATAGATATAAAAAGCTATATATAACGATAAGAATATTTTATTTGCATTAAAAAATACTTTACAATCGAACAATTAAAAAATCATGCGTATAAGCTGCGATGTGTAGAATTTGATCAAAGATATATCTTTTTGCAAATGGCAATAGATAATAAACTTAAATATCTTTTAAACAGTGAAAAAGTTTTGCTTATAGTAAAAATCATACAGCGTTAATATTACAATATTGTTTGGACATAGTTATTTTTCTTGGATATAATATTTGTTGTCCATGGACAGTGCATGCCCATGTCCATTGACAACACTGTCTACTAGGAACTGGAAACTAGTGGAAGTCCGGAGCATAAAGTATCAATTATGTAATAGAATAGAATCGACCAATCAGCATTCATAAAAGTGGACGGACAGACAACTCCACGTGATCTCGATGATCAGTCTATCGTAAAAGCAGTGTCCTCCGCTTCGCTCCGGACAATAATGAAAGTTTTGTAAAATACGGAATTTTCTATTGATTAACTGTTAAGAGAAATTCCAGGGGTAATTTATAAATTCATTGGTTGAGTTTTCTAAAAGACGTGATCTCCGAAAACACTTTTAAGAAATATAATTTATTATTAAAATACGTTCTTTTTGAGAACATTGATTATATAAACAAAATTTAATTTGTTGATAACTTTTGATCTACGGATCCATTTTGGATAGTTTTACCATCAGGAATGTTTGTTTTGTAAAGACAATTCTAACAAGCCCAAAATCAAAATCCAATCTGAGATTGTCAAAATTTTGTATTTTAACCTCGACTTTTCTTTCTATTCAGAATATTTCGGAATATCAAGCTAACGTGTTTGATTTGGACTGTGCCTTATGTCCAATAGCAAAAAATATGGTCAATATAGACATAGTCTATCTCCAATAGTCCATATTGTCCATGTCTTTGCTTTGAAAATCACGTTATGGAACACAGTGTAAAAAATTCGATGTGCGCATGTGCGGATCGCACATGAAATTTTCTTATTTTAATATTAAGAGAGCATACAGTATGACCACATGAGTGCGTACATACTTCTCAAACTGAATTTTTTACACTGATGGAACATAATAAATCATATGTCTCATAACGTGATTTTCAAGGAAAAGACAGGCGATTATAATGTGCCTAAAATTATCATTAATAAAATTTTAATTATAAAATGATTATTAAAAATTAGTGTTTATTTTCATTGCATTCACTCAAAATAAACACTAATCTAGGGAATCTTGAATTTTCATGATTTTGGGTTCGTCAGAATTATCTCATTAAGGCGAACATTTTGATGGCAAAATCATCCAAGACGGATTAGTAGATCAAAAGTCATTCAATATCAAAAATATCAAAAATATTATAAAAATTAATATACAATAGATACTGAAATTCTGATTGATTTTGGGCTCATTAGTATCGTCTAATCAAAGACAAACATTTTGATAGTAAAGTCATCCGAAACGCTTTGGCAGAACAATATTATCAGAAATTTACAAATCTGTTCGTACGTTGACCTTTTTTTTGCCTTAACAAAAAAAAAATTTCACCATACTTTATTTTTCCATTTAAAAAATTAAAACAATTAAAAAAAAGTCATAATTCAAGAATCTTTGGACCTTTGTCAGATTAAAGAAATTTTAATAAAGCTTAATGTCTCAATTATACATCAGCAAATTTAGATAGGCGAATATTTTCGAATAAATTTTTCGCATGCAAAAAAAACGAAAAAATGCGCAAAAAATTTCGAAAATAAAAAATAAAATTTTCGAAAATATGCGAACTAAAATTTATACATACGAAATTTTCGTAACACAATAAATTTTAGAAATAAAAAGCCTTTTCCCTTGGTAACTCCACCACTTCTATAATTATTCACATATCGGGCTAATTAAATTTATAGTACTCCGATAGTGAAGTGGTGGAAAAATTTAGTAAACCCAAGACCAATTAAATTGATTATGTAAGCACCGCTGAATGTCAGTCACATGTTCGCTGTACCGGTAGAATTCTCTATTTTCGGATACATGGCATTATGCTATCCTAAATTTGACAGTTGACAGAACTATGTGATCTGCCAATCAAACCAAATTTTTGTAAGCGAACCGCCGGTTCGGTTTCATCTATATTTCTACGCTGGATCAAATATCTTAGGAAAGACGAGAAACAATGTCGAACGAACAGCGTGATAAGCATGTTGTCTCTTTGAGTGACATTCTCACGAGTATAGTTTTAATCTTTGGTGGCTGCTGTACAAACGTTATTGCCTTAGAAAGATTAGTTGCGTTAGTAATTGCTTGGGACAGCTATCGCTCTATAATTTATTTATTCAATATATTACATAAACTAACTATCTCGCCTTAATTCCTCAGTGAGGCCCCAAAAAGTGGTATGTTTGAGTGCATTTTTCTTTAATTTATACGTATATATGTAATATATACAGTAATTCGTATTCCTAAAGATTCTGATTCGTTTTCTAGGAAACCTGTTCACTTTCGCTCAATTCCTGTTCATTGCTAGTGAAGGCTTACTTTATAATCTTGATTTTTCATCATCCATCCCAAAACTTAAGAAACGCCATGTTCCTTTATATCGCTGGTTTTTACAGGTGGTTATGTTTTTTACAGTGTCAGTATTGAATAATATAGCATTCGGATATAAGATATCCGTACCATTACATATTATTTTTCGTAGTGGCGGGCTAATTGTTAGTATGATATTGGGTTGGTCGATAAGAAAAAAAAGGTGTGAAATATTGTCACTTAATTTTCATATATAAAATATGTATAACTTAATCCTTTTTTATGTCTATATTTTAAGATATTCAATAGCACAAGTTATCGCGGTCGTGTCGGTAACTTTGGGTGTCATTCTTGCAACTATTAGTTCATCTGACGCTAATGTTGAGGTATTAAATGATAATTATCAACTATGCAATTAATCTGAATTTATAGGAATAATTAATTCCGGTATTTCCAACTTTAGGAGAAGGTTGAGGTTGGCACTCCAGAATATGTGATTGGTATCTCGCTACTCTCATTTACAGTAGTATTATCATGTTTTATGGGTTTATTTCAAGAACTTACATATGAGAAACATAAAAGTGATTGGCGCGAAGGGCTATTCTACACGGTTAGCTCCATTCCTTTCTTCGATCATGTTACTCTTAAAGTTAATTAATCATTTTAATTTATTGTTCAATAGCATTTTCTAGCATTACCGTTCTTTTTGTTCTTTTATCCTGATATCAGAGAACAGGCCCAAGTTTACAATGAATCTACTTCAGAGCCACTTAGCAAAATATTACCTGTTCCCAACTGGTTCCAAGATGTTTCGACTTGTTGCAATTTACCAAAATCGTGGACTTATCTCATCATAAATGTTCTTACTCAGTAAGCCTTCAAATATTCTAAATAATTTAAAGTTTTCTATTCTATAACATTTTTTATAAACACTTAGGTATGTGTGTATTTCGGGCGTTCACAAGCTGCAATCACGAGTTAGTGCACTAACCTTAAATCTTGTTTTAAATCTCCGAAAATTTACTTCTCTTGTTATTTCTCTGTGGTTTTTTGATAATGAAATTAATTATGGTGTCATAGTCGGAGGCATTTTGGTATTTGTGGGAACCTTGTTATATTCTTTTGGTGCTAATTCCAAAGGTTTGAAAACCAATGAACATTCGGACAATTTAAGGAACAAAAAAGACCTATGATCAAAAAAATTCGCGATAATATGGTTAGACGTGTAAAGCATATAAAGATTTGCTAGAATTCTTTAAATAGAGGCGCATTTATCTTTATTATTTAATTTTGCGGAGATTGATTCTCGTAAAAATAAATTAATTCTCATTGTACTACCGTGTGACTTTATGAGTAATACGTGTTACCCAAAATAACACGCGAAGGCATAAATCAATCACCGAAACGCGAACTTTTCGCAGATCTTCTATAAAAATAACAATCCTAAATAATTGAAAACAATGAGTTTAATGATTTGTGAATATCTCTTCTGCACTTGATAAAAAATAAAATGATCGAAGATTCGGATAAGGACATTTGGAATGCTAAAACCATTGAACGACTTGCAGAGTTCGCTTTCAAAAAAAATAATTCTACTGAAAAAACTAGCACTCCAGTCAAACGAGAATCCCCGAGTAGAGCCAATAAAAATATAGGAAAAAAATATAAAGCGTCATCGTTGCCAGCTTCTCCAAATAAAACCAACGTTTTACAAAGACGAGTATTAGAACAGTCAAAAGTAAACACTTCAAATTCTGCTAGTAGTAATGGTGGTTCACCTGCAAAGGACCGTAAAGGCTTTAGCAAAACGAATAGTTCCGCAAAAAAGAATAATGCTTCTAGTTCAAAGACATTATTTGATTTTTTCAGTCTCCCAAAGGAATCAAGCGGTAGCCCAATTATTAAAAAAGGTAATTAATAAACTTTACATATATAAAACAATTGAATAAAATTCAAATAAATTAAATTGGCTGAAATAGCCTTATTGCATGAAAGGTACATTGCAAGAGAAATTAGAAATTGAAGCAACCAACTTAATAATTGCATCAAAATATTGGAGTTCATCTGATACGACAACCACTGTTAAATTGGAAATTACCGATACTGATGCTCTGTGTGAGAATGAGAAAATTATTGATAATGTGAATGAGAAAAGCATTGATGATGAGAATGAGAAAATTATTGATAATGTGAATGAGAAAAATATTAGTGATGACATCCCATGTAAGGATGAGGTTCCTTGTAAAGATGAGAGTATTCACGTTCCCATAAGGCCGGATTCGAAAAAAGAATGTCCATGGTACAAGAAATTACAGGGTAATTAAAAGTGAATTAGAACATTTATTTCTACGACTATGTTTCCAAACTTTCATCCCTTTCAGACACGAACATAACGGTTGACGCCTTCAAGTATGGGAGTATCCCGAATTGTACCGCTTATTTCTTGAGGTACAAATTTATATTTATAAAAGTAAATTGATTTTTAATTCAATAAATTATGTTACTATCAAATTCTGTTACATATTAGTCACTTCCATTCCGATCATTATGTTGGGTTATCCTCAAAATGGTCACACGGTCCTATATATTGTTCAACTGTGACTGGCAATCTAGTTGTTCAGCAATTGCAGGTCAAACCATATTACGTTCGAAAATTGGCTATGAATGAAGAGATTGCCATTGATAAGACTAATACTACAGTTACATTGATTGATGCAAACCAGTAAGTTTGATTATTTTCCTCGATGCATAAATAATAATTGTTACATTTTGCATCATATCCCTTACATAAAACCCTTATTTAGCTGCCCGGGATCTGTATTATTTTTATTCAAAACCAAATGCGCTAATGGTGAAATTAAACGATACCTTCATACTGGTGATTTTCGTGCATGTCCACGCCAGGTGCTTCATCCAGCATTAGCACAACCTAATAATCCACCAATAAATATTTTATACCTTGACACTACCTATTTGAATGAGAGATCTTGCTTTCCAGCTCAGGAACAAGTTGTCAATGCTATCATACAACTGGTTAAAGAAGTGATCAAAAATGGTGAATTACTTCCTATGAAGCGCACAAAGGCTACAAAAGAGCCAGAGGGTAAACCACAGATGATATTGGATCAATGGTTCAAAGGAAAGCCAAAAGAAACTGTGATTCAGACGGATTCAGATTTAAACATAGAAGTTGAATCTATAGAAATGTTAAATTCCAATTTATCTTCTGTTAATATGAATATCGACAAAACTGAACATGAACCTATTAGCTTGCTGGATAGCAAAATTCTGATTGTTGTCGGCACATATTTGATCGGTAAAGAGAAGGTCTTTTGGGGTAAGTCGACATTTATAGAATTGTAACTAGAAGTAGGGATTGGAATCGGTTTAATCGACTAAACATAGTAGCTTACTATAAAAATTTTTTAGTCGACTAAACCGATTCCAATCCTTAACTAGAAGACTCAAGATAATGAATATTATAATTATCTTTTTATAGGTATCGCGAAAGCATTAAACTCCAAAATTTACGTGTCAGATTCCAAAAGAAAGATGATCATGTGTCAAGAGAACCCTGAGTTGGAAGCACTTTTAACAAACAACCCTCAAGAAGCTTCCGTGCATGTTATGTTTTTGACGAAAATAAAGCCAGAGGTAAATTAACTTTTTTGTCATTAGATATATTTTATACTCAAATATGCTGTATGTAAATATTTGTCGTAGGGATTAATATACTATCTCCAAAGTCTACAGCCAACATTTAAACAAGTCATGGCATTTCGACCAACTGGGTGGGCTTATAAACCCTCTGTTTGTGGAACATTCACGACATCGTCCACAGTTGAGGAGATATTGAATAATGCACCTTCTTACACTATGGATTTAATATATCCATCATATAACTCTCCAACATGTCAAATATTTGGAGTTCCATATTCTGAACACTCCAGTTTTCGTGAACTTGCAGCATTCGTCATGTCTCTGAATATAGGTCGAATTATACCAACAGTAAACATAGAGTATGTCCCTTAAATTTTATATTTATCTGACACAAATTCATTATATTTATATTGGTTCTTTATTTCGTAGATCTGAAGAAAGTCGGAAAGAAATGGATTACTGGCTAAGTAAATGGCAGAATGAAAAGAAAAAGAATAAAAATATTAGTGTTGCACCGTATTCTGTTATAGATCATTGGTAATCTTATTAAGGGCAATCCTAAAGCATTACGTAGGAATCAAAGAATTGTTAGCAATCCTAAAGTAGAATTGTACCACATTTAACTGTTGCGCGAAGATTATGCACATAATTTTAAATTCAGATTTTAAATAAAGTTCTATATAGCTGATAGGTTGAATTTAAACTTGTCGAACATTGCATTTCTACACTTCGAGTCTTGTATACTATATTAAAGATAGTTCTTCAATTAATTTAACTTCTCGCAATTAAACTTCTAATTCTTAGTTGTATACGACCTTTTATACATTACGACTATTTAATTGTCCGGAGCGTAGCGAAGGACATATATTGGACGAGTAAAGTGTAAACATAACTTTGAAAAGGATGTCTGTCCGCACACGGACTAAAGTTACGTTTTTGATGCACGACTATATTCGACAATTTATTTGCTCCGGACTTACAACAGTTTTTTAAAACTGTTCCCTAGTATATATATAATATACTCGACCATTTTTGTTGCACTATTTTTTTATTTTAATGCTAGTTGTAAACCCGTGCAATAATGCACAGGAATAAACTTATAAAATTTTTAAAAATAAAATAAATATATAGTAAAACTTTTATAATTATTAGGCTATAAAGCACAGAAAAGATTTAATATAAAATAAAATAAAAATTTAAATCTAAAGCAAATTAATTTAAACAATTTTATCTTTAATATAGATTATAATTTGGTTTTGTTTAATTTTAATTTAATTTATTAAAACTAAAAATTTATTGTTTTTTAAATAT